GTTCCCCACTCTGTCTCTGGTAAATCCTCTCACTGCCCCTGAACCTCTGGCCTGTACCCAAGTTCTGTATGGACAAATAAATTTTTAAAAATATAAAATAAAAAGATTTTCAGGGATGGCAAAGAATAAGTTTGGCACAGTGACAGGAAAGCCAGAACTAGACGGAAGCGTCGCCCAGTGGGTTAAACGTGTGAGCTCTGGAGCTAGGTTGCCTGGCTCCACCTACATGCTGTGTAACGCCACCAACTTCACTTCTTAGTGTGTCAGTTTTCTCACCCCAGTAGGGGGGGGAAGTAACAGCTCCCCTAACACTGTTGCCATTAGGATTAAGTCAATTAAAGGAGGAAGAAGACTTAGGATATTGGCAGCATGTGACAATGTCTTTGTAGGTGTGCTTTCTTACTATCATCTTCTTGCAAAATGTGGCCACCTAGATGTTCACTGAGGACGTAGAGGTCAGGCAACCAGTTGACTCTCAGTGCTGTGCCTGGGTCAGCCTGGGCTTGACGTCTGCATGTGGTGGGGAAGAGAGCATGTGTGTCTGTGACTGCCAGCAAGGAGGGATCCAGACTGCTGGCAGCTCATGGCTCTGTGCCTCCCCCTCTCTGCTCAGTGACCTATCAGACCTGTTGGGCCATCAAATAGCTGAGGAAGGACAACTAGCATTTAAAAGTAGTTAACAAAAGTGCCGAGTGGACTAAGATGAAGCAGAAATGGGTATCAATGTCTTCAAAATAGTAAAACCAGAATAAAAGACAAATACCAACATCTTCTCCCAGCTGAATCTTAACTAAGCTAGCATCCCTTCATTCCAAGACCTGGGCTTGTAGGTGTGACGCAGGCAAGAATTTTGGCACCTATTACTTGGGTTCACCTTTCTCCCTCGGGACATCAGGCCTGGAATGTGGCAATGGATTTGAGTGGAGTCACATCTGGGGGGGAGGGGAAGGGGACCCGCCTTCTGCAGGTTGCCACATGATGTATAGCTTTTATAGGTCTCAACTCAGAGCATCCTGGGGCTGCTTTGTGAGCCTTTCAGGCAGCCCCAAGCACTTTGCACAGGCAGTTTCCAAGGGTTTCTTTAAGGTTTGTAGTCTGTTGGCACAGAAACATTTTCTAGTTGATTAAAAACAAATTCCAAATCCAGTATCCACTACTGTTTATTTTATGCATGAGGTAACCCTAGGAAATGCAATAAACAAAACTGAAATAGTCTCGGCTCCACTGGGAGTGTGGGCTCGGGAGCCTCGTGCTGGGGCCTCGCTTCCTGGTGGGAGACGGGGCGCAGCCAGGTGCACCCTGAGGACTGACGTGTGTGCGCACACTTTTCTAGAATTACAATTTTTTTCTTCAGGCCCCAATTTTCCATTTGGTTCTTTTCAAGGTTTTCTTTTTGTTAAATTTCTCATAGTTTTCCTGGTTTGGTTCAAGGGTTTATCTGTGTTCCCTCAACATCTTTACAGCAATATTTTGAATACTTGTCAGGCGTGGCGTTTCCCCACTCCCCTGGGGCAGTCACGGGGGCTTTGCTGTGTCCCTCTGGTGCTGGTCCGCACATTCTTTGTGTGGGTGTCTGCGTCTCTGGGGAAGCAGACAGCTCTTTCAGGCTTTGTAGATGGACGTCAGTAAGGAGAGACCTTCATTGGCAGGCAGGGGCGTGCTGGGGCCCCATGTCTTGTGATGAGGGCACCCAGAGGGGCAGCTTTGGCTGCCCCAGTACCAGGAGGCATGATATCATGATGCCTAGGGTCTCTAGGGTCATCCACATGGACAAATGTGGTCCCTGGCAAGGGTGGTGGGAGGTCCACAGTGGCGACTTCAGGTCCAGTGAGGAAGGATCAGGGCAGGCATCTGGGATGGCCATTGCCAGTGGTGTCTGTACACACACTTGGCTGCAGGTGCCAGCTATTGTGCCCATGTAGCAGCTGGGCAGAGCTTGCTGGGGCCACGAGCAGAGCTGGGCTGTCGGCGTGCTCTCCTGAGCCTGCAGGAGGGCTGTGGGCTGCACACGGCAATGGAGGCTGGTGACAGGCAGTGGGCCTGGCAGTGTCCAGGTGCACAGCTGGAGTAACCTGCTACAAGGCCTGCCTGCTGGTGGGCACTTCTGGAACTGAATTCCAGTTTTAATAACCAGTGCAATTAAGCTGTTCAATGTTAATTAAATTTGCCCTGTTCTGTTGCTCTTTCTTGCCCCATTCTCTTTCCTGACAGAAGTTGCTCTCTTGCCCAAGGACCGTTCATGCTTTTAAAGCTAGCTGGTTCCCTTTGAACTTTCTCTCTCACCCCATGGTGTCCAGGAGATCAGGAATTTTTGCAAATCAGAGGGAGAGACATTTTTAGACAGCAAGAGGGGAGCCTTTGGAATTTCTCAAGTTACAGACATCCCAGAAAAACCTCCCTTGCATGTCATTTAGTGATTGGTGAGGTCAGATGTCAAGAACTTGCAGTATATTAATATCACAGAGTTGTATTTAATAGCAATAGGATATTAATATCACATCATTCTGCCACAAATTATTTGCTACTACTTCCAAAGAGGATCACAGATTTGCTTCACAGCAGATTTGATTCCTTCACTTTACTCATGTCAGAAAGCACAAGTTGGTTGACATTTAGTTGCTGAGGGTACACCAAGCACTGATTGAAACTTGTTCCCACAATCCTTAGAGGGACGCATGAGTAATAGACTCCTTTGACAGGTGAGGAGAAGGAGATCCAGAAAGTGTATAAGTAGCTTGTCCAAATCAAGATATTTAAAAAGTGGCAAGCCCCCTGTCGGAGACACCCTCAGGTCCACAGCGCAGGAGGGGCTCTGGCCTTGGCAGTGCGGGAAGGCCTGAGCTTTATGTAGTTGACTTTATCTCCACGTGAAGTTTACAGTCACAGAAATACAGCAGAAAACTGAAATAAATATACATACAACTTGAACTGCTGTCCTCAGTATACCATGGAGGTACACACACAGTTTGATACTTCATTTTGCAATAGACAGTCTTGCCCACAACACTGGCGTGGCCGCATCTCGTCTTGCTATCGGAGAGGTTCCCGTGGACCCACAGGATTAGGAGGGGCACTTAGATGACTTCATTTCCTCTGTGGAGAAATGGAGGCACAGAGAGGTGGAATCACCTCCCCAGGGGCCTTGCCCTACTGCAGGGCACTCAGTACGCCCCCAAGCAGGAGCAGGGAGCGGGGCTGTTGGGAGTGTGCATGTATGACGGGAGGAGGCCAAGAAACATTTCTTTTAAGGCCAATGACTCCGGTGTACTTTTTTTTTTTTTTAAACTATTGGGGTGGGGTGGGGGAGGGAGACCCTACTCCTAGACTTCTCAAGTTTCAAAGTCCTTGTGGAGCTGAAAATCAATTTTGAACCTCATGACCACCCCAGGAGGGTGTGTGTGCAGGCCTTGCTTTTCAAATGGGAAAGAAAAGCCAAGAAGTGCTGCCCACCTTGCCCAAGGTCACACGGCAGGGCCGTTACTGTACTTGCGGTCGCCTGGCCTGGCACGGTGCCCTGAACTCCACTGCTTTCCTGTCTACGGTTTGTCTTACCAGCATTACAGATGAGAGCAGCACAGCAGTTTTGTTCTCTGGTGCTATTCAGACACCATTCTCAAACACTGGATTTTCTCTGAAAGAAGCTTTTCTTCATGTGATCAGAAACTTGACAAGAAAGATAATTAGATCTCCTAAATGATACCCAGAAAGTACACGTTATTTCAGGACAGATACAAAGCACTTGCCGTGCTGCTGAGATGTTTCCTTTCAGGGCAGAGGTGTAAGACATACGTAAATGAAGCTGAGTCTGGGAAACCAGCATATTGTAATTAAAAAGGCAGCCCCCTTGACGGGCAGTTCTTTGTCTAAAGCCCTTTATAAAAGAGGGTCCTTTAATTCAATAAACAAGACAGGAACCTTCAGTTTTCCTACTGTAGCTCTTACTTGCAGCTAACAAACACAATAGAGAAAATACACAACTAGTGTTTGATCTTGCCTTGCTGCGGGGTGTTTCGTCTTTCAAGAGACCCAGGGAGAAACAACCTTAGAACTTTACCACGAAAACTTCCAAATTTATTGCAACACAACGTAATGGCAAACTGCTGTTTTTTTTTTTTTTCTTGTTGTTGTTGTTTTGTTTTGTTTTTACACTTACATTTTTGAAAAACCACCATGGCCAAGAAAGCCTAGCTTTATTTTTACAAGGAACCCAAAGTCTTAAATTCCTCTCTTGATTTGGAGATGGCAGAGGTGCCATGGGTTATTCAGAGCAAACCCTCACATCTAATTATTTAATCTTATCCTTTCTGTCTAACCTGTGCTTGAGGCATTTATTTCATGTTTATACTGGTTTCACACAAATCATTCTTAAAAGAGACGGAGTATCCCATTTCCCTGCACACACGCAAAAGTGGAGCTACAATAGAATTAACAAAGCCAACCCTTCTTGAGCTTATCAGTAAAAGAAGCAGTCAGCCTAAGAAAAACACTTCCAGTGTAAACAAGATACAGAAAGGCTCATCTGGCCACATTCCACTCGGATCTTTCTGGGTAGAGAGAAGTATGGATCCACCTTAGATATTTTCTTTTGCAATTTTAGCACCAACATGCTCATTTCTTACGAAATAAATTGTTATAATTTGTCACTTTGCTATTTTATCCAAGTAGGAAGACAGGTATTAAAAGTCAAGATAAGAGACTTAAAAGTGTTACAAGAGTCTACGCCAGTATCATACGACTAAATATCAATCTAACAACAATTAAAGATACAGCAAAAAGCTGCCTTATTTTAGCATTATTTACATTTGATATGCATATTAAATATTACTTGTTTACAATGTGATCAGCAACCACCCACTCTAATCTCAATTCAGTTGAGACTGAAATCTGGACAGACTTTTGGTGAAGGTACATATTATTTCTTAGTGACAAATACACTTTAATATTTTGATAATACAGTGGAAATATACTGTCTATATAGGTTAGTAATTCATCAGACATACCTTGTTTGAAGAAAGCAGTTTTTCTCAAAAGTTTTCCACCATGCAGAATGGATTTCCTTTTTTTCCTTAAGTTTTTCTGCACACAAGTCCCATCCAAGTTACTCTAAAGAAACGAGAAGAGATCCAAGCACCTTTCTCTTCTCAGTGGAGCTAATCAAACATCTCGGCACTTTGAAAAGCACATCTGACATCACGCAGCCTGCTTCTCACACTGGTTTTAGTCCTGAATTAGGCGGTTCTCTTTCAAATTTCCACTCCCACTTGCTTTTTTGGGGGGGGAGGTGGTGGTGGTGGTAAGTATTTCTAAATATCCTTTTCTAGCCCAGAGCCCACACTTTCAGTAAGCAAATTGGAAGCCCTACAATTAGAAATTCTACAAAGTAGAAGAGAAGCACTTTGCTAAAATGGGAAATGAAAAAAATATTTTAAACAGGATTTAAGCGACGCAGTTAGAAAATTTTCTGTATTCTTTCCCAAATGCTAGTGAAACAGCTGAATTAAGCTGCATAAAGAAAGAACACTGCAAACTGAGCCCTACCAGACTCACTTTTGGAAAAGTATGCTGGAAAATACTTACTCTTCTTGCGTGCGGACGCTGGTTTTTGTTTCGTTCGCTTAGGTCCTTTCTCTGCACGCTGGCCAGCTTACTGAAGGGACTGTGGTGTGTATCGTTCTGGTGGGAGGACACACATCCTAACGTGGCAAACAAGCCCGGATTCCTGTTTAAAATCGGAGTGAGAGATGGCACCGTCCTAAGTGAAATCTGTGAATGTTAGTTATTTGCATGAGTCATCATTTAAATGGAAGGGATCCACATCTGAAACATGCATTAGCATACCACGGCAATTCATTTTATTTAACTTTTAATTACATTTTATTGATTCAGTATTGGTTTACAATATTCTATAACCTCAGGAGCCCAGCTTCACACCTAGACACCACACCTCACGCACCATCAAAGTCCTGCCACTATCCCCATGATCAAATTGCCCCTCAACCCACCCTCTTTGCCTTCCCCTCTGGTAACCACCATATTTTTCTCAGAGTCCGAGTTATTTTTGTTGGCATAGCGCAGCATTTTAAAAAGAGACCATAAAAAGTCCGTCTGGCTCTGGCTGCGATTCACGTATGTATCAGTGGGACCGGACTTTTTCTCTCTGCCTGCAGGAGGGGCCGGGGTCCTTTTGCTGCCCGCTGAGGGTTGGGGGAGAATCTTCGCCAGCAGCTCCTCCTCTGTTGGTCCTGGAATCGCTCCTTATTTAAGGTTATGGTTTGAAAGTTATTGAACCTTCTTTCCTTCGCTCCAGCTTGGTTTCTCAGTCCTGCTTCTTCCTGAGCAAAGCCTGAGCATAGATCCATGGTGATGGGGATGGTGTGGCTTGAGGACGATGGCTGAGTCAGGCTATTCATATTTCCATAAAGTGGCAGTCCAAGCATAATTGGTAACAGCAGGAAAGCTAATGATTATCATGCTGCCATTTATTAGATACTTTTCTAGAAGCGGTCAGATGCCTTCAATCTATGACATCTCATTTAATATGCAGAAAAATCTAGAAGGGTCCGTTCTGTTTGTTCCGAGGCTCAACGAGGTTCCCCAGCCAGAAAGGCAAAGATTGGGATTTACATTCAGACTTTCTGCCCCTGAGCAGTGGTGTGGAATTAATACCTAGAGTTTCTGTTCTTCCTTAGTTTTTCCTTTTTAGTGAGACCAAGGCAGAATCAAAGCTGAATGCATTGAAGAGCATGTGAAGAGCTTAGAGAGAAATGTAAAATGAGAAGTGATGCTTGTGATGCTTGCGGTGATGAAAGGTCTGGAGCCAGTAATGGCTGCACCACCTCCTAGGTGTAATTAGTGCTAGTGAATTACTAAAACCTAAACGGGGGAAAATGTCATTTTTAATATATATTTACTACAATAAAAAAATTAACAAATTTCCTTTTTAAAACAAGTAATGAAATGTCACTTTATTTTCAGCAGATTGGAAAAATGACAAAGCTGGCGGCTCTGACGGGCTTGGGGCAGGAAGGTGGCCTTCGGCAGAGCCTTCTGCAGAAACATTTAGGCGCCTGACATGTGTCGCCTGGGACGGAGCTAATGCTTTGTGGGTGTCCTCTTTAGTGAAGCTTACCCCCAGATAAAGTTATTTAGGGGAGATGATATAGAACATTCTGCAGTAGCTGGAAGCCAGGCACTGGATGTGGCAGTTGAACATTTGTCCCCAGGCCAGGTGGCTTAAATTTGACTCTTGGGTTTAGCACCTAATCCTGAGCAAGTGACCTAACTTCTGTTTTTAGTTTCTTTATCTGTAAAATGGGGAAAAGATCCGTAAAACTCATATGAGTCTTGGAATCTTGCCTTATGAAGTGCATGCTATGTAAGTCTGTTAAAGCAAAAATACATGGTCACTGCTGTGTTCATTTTCTGTTGTGTAACAAACTGCCATGCAGTTATCATGTCACAGTTCTGTAGGTTAGGGGTCCAGGTGTGGCGTGTCTGGGTTCTCTACTCAGGGACTTTCAAGGCTCAGATCAGTGTTGGCTGAACTGGGCTCTTCCTGGAAGCCCTGGGAGAAAACACCCACCTACAAGCTGATTCTGGTGTGGGCTGCCCTCAGGTTGTGGCCTTGGAGGACAGATGTCCCCATTTCCTTCTGGCTGGAAGCATTGGGGACTGCTCACCACCCTGGAGGTCACATGACTTTATTTGGAAATAGTCTTTGCAGATGGAACCAAAGTGAAATCATTCTGGATTAGGGTGACCCCTAATCTGGCAATGAGTCCTTATAAGAAGAGGCAGAGAAACAGACACGAGAGGGAATACGATGTGAAGACGGAGACCCCATGGGGGTACATTTCCACTAGCCAAGGAACGCTAAGGATTGCCAGCAACCAGTGGAAACCAGAAGATATGGGAGGGGATTCTTTACTAGAGCTCTGATGAGGGAGTCAGGCCCTGCAGACACCTTCATTCAGGATTTCTTGCCTCTAGACCTGTGAGAATAAATTACATCCACTTGGTGCTGCTTTGCTATGGCAGCTCTAGGAAAAGACCAGGCCCCACGTTCTCACTCACTTGGGGTCTTCTCAGCCTGCGTCATGGTCTGTCTCAAGGGTTATTCTATCTCAGACTTTCCACCCTGGACCTTTCCCGTCTGTTTTTCTGTTCATCGCCTTGACTTTGGTGTCCAATAGATATCTCCAACGTAACTCAAAGTGAGTATCCCAGCCTGAAAGCTTGATCTTTCCCCCCAACCTACCTTCTCCTTCCAGATTTCCATCCAATAAGAGGTGCTCCTGTCCCACCAGGGGCTCAGACTCAAACCACAGTCATTCTTGACTCTTCCTTTCTTCCCCCGGCACACACCCTGTTCCCTGGGTCAGGCAGCTGTCACTCTGGACAGGGTCATCTGGCAGCATTGTCACCACCGGTCTCCGAGTTGATACCAACCAGGTCTCCCTCATGGTGTCACTTTCTTACCAGCCTCTCTGCTTCCTCACTGCACCCCTGGTGAGCTGTTCTCAGCAGAGCAGCCAGACACTACTTCTGTGCTTGGGACTTTTCAGAGGATCCCCTGCGAGTCGGAAGTAAAGCAAAGTCCTTGCAAAGGCCACCTCACCCCCAACCGGGCCCTGCCACCTTGGCAGAAGCTCCTGCTCTGCTTCCTGAGCACTGACTTGGTTGTGTTAGGTCCTTGGGACTTGCTGTTCCCAAGGGCTTCTCGGGAGTCTGTGTGGCTCTGAGCTCATCTCAACTCTTCGCTCAAATGTCATCTCCTGAGCAAGCTCTTGCCTCACTACCCTGTTGAAGGAGGCAGCCTCACTCCCCAGCCCAGCAGTTCCTCTCCTTCTCTGATGCTCTCCTCCTGCTTAATGATGCCCTTCCACAATATTTAATACTTATTTTTTTCGCTGTGGGCTCCAGGAAGGCAGAATTTTCATGTGACATACTGAGCCTTAGAATGGATACGTAAAAGGCACAAAATAAGTTCACTAAGTGATTACAAAACCTTAGGATGGTTGCCTGTGCAAAAAGACAGGAGATCCTAAATGTGTTTAAAAAGGAAAAAAAAAAAAAAGTAACTGTATGATGGACTTGTGATCATTTCTCAAAATACACAAATTTGATATTTTGAAATATCAAATCATTGTGTGCTGCACCTGCAGCCAACACAATGGTACATGCGTGCCACACTGAATGAATTCCAAAACAAGGGAAAGAATGGTTGCCTGTGGTGAAGGGCGTGGCAGTGGAGAATTGGGCTCAACTGGAATAAAAAACACCAAAGCAGCTGTCCTAGAGCCTGTTGTGGGGCAGGAGGGTGGCTGGGAATTGACCTCCCCCCGCTCCCCCAGGCCCAAGGCAACACCCCACCCTGCCTCCAAAGCAATCAAATTGGAGGCCACAGGGAAATCTTTCGACTTCTTTAATAAAAACAAGATCACAGCTTCCTGGTAAGTGGCCTTGAGCTTGTTACTTGGCATGAACAGAACCTCCAGATTATTTTTTTCGGTGAGAGCAGAAACCGCCATGTTCAGTTCTTCCTACATTGCTGTTTGAGGTAGTTTTGCTTATAAATCACACAGGGCTGCTCAAGGACATCAGTTTTCTTCTGAGTAACTGTTTGTCACTATATAAACTTAGTGTCTCAGTCTTGTTCCATATCCAGTACAAAACTCCAATCTTCTTCAGAACATTCTGTATTCCAAGTTTTTATTTTTGTCATAAACACAGAGCTTGATGGATCTTTAAAATGTCCCCTTGCTGGTTTTTCTTTTTCTTTTTCTTTTTTTTTTTTACACTGCAGAAACAGTGTGCAGGGAAATCAGTGTACTCTTCAAATTACAAATCTATTCTTTTCTGTGACTTTGAACAATGCAAGGTGGCAATTTAAAAATCTACGTAATGAGGTCTGCTTTTCAGACACTCAGGTGCTTTTACCGAGTGCAGGCATAAAGCCCGAGTTAGTTCTTCTGACAACAGCTCAATGGGATGTCTGAGGCTACATCGTGTTTACAGTGCATCATTTTTTTCAGAGAAATATGACTTTGAACTCCTAGAGCAGCTTTGAGGTTCTTTTCTGTCTCCACTTTGACAGAAACTTATTGCAGCAATCAGCTATCCTGGACTCACTTGAATAATACTACCAATAAATGTGTTTTGTGTAGTGTCACTGCAAATAGATAATTTACTAACATGGCTAGCTTTTGCTAAACTTACCTTATCACTATCAGAAGCAGAGAGTTAGTCACGAAATTTATATTTTTTCAAACGCTGGATGGAACCAAACTGGGAGCATGGATAACTTTCTTTTTTTAAAATATATTTTTTAATATTTATGCATACAGAACTGGGATCCAGCCCAGAGGTGCAGGGGTGGTGAGAGGCTTCACCAGAGACAGAGCAGGGAGCAGAACAGGCAGATCAATGAAGTACACTGCCGAGGGGAGCAGCGGGTGAAACAGGAGAGGTCTGCTGCACCATGTGGGTCACCTCTGGTGCGGGGATCGAACTCATGCAGAAGAGGCTGTGGCCAGCTTGCAGTGTGGCGCTTTAACCGGTTGTGCCACCAGGAAGGGCCATGGAGCATGGATAACTTTCATACAGAGGTTGGAGGTGGTCAAAAGAGATTTTGCGAAGAAATTTGACAGACTT